GCCCGTGATCCCTGCTATGCGCTCTTTCGGTTATTAAATGTGCAGTTGTGATTAATAATTGCACTTTCGTGATTGCTTAATACGCTCTTCTAATTTTTAGCAGCAGTTTAACACCATATTACAGCCACAGCTCACCACAGAGTTAAAAAAAACCCCACATGATTTCATAACATGTACTGTGAGTGACACCTATACACCTTCATATATTTTGGGTTTTATGATACAGAGCTTTGTCCGCTTGATATATTTTTGCAACTTTTGTTTTTTGTTGTTCTTTTCCCAAAGGCTGTAGGCCCAATTTGACCAGCACCATTCATAACTGTGCCGTAAAGCTGAAGGGTGTCTGGATTCAGTACAGGGGTTTGGAGCTCCTATCCTACAATGTATAGTTACTGTTGACCCTGCAAAAGATGAAAGGTTAGCAGCTAGAAACAGGAGCTATGAGCTACAATTTGAGGTATTTGGATCAAGTCCTAATATATTTCAGCTGTTACCCTGATTAAACACACCTGCATGAAATGATGGTTCATTAGCATGCCTCTACAAAACAATAGTCGAAAGACATTAAAAACATCCAGGTCACTGGCCCTAAGTAACTGGAGTTGTGCCTTCAAACTCCAGCCTTTTCAAGGTTTAGACCAAAGTGCAGACTGATGCTAGGAAACAACATGGTGAGTTGGAGAATTCAACAGTATACCGAACAAGGAAATATGCATACAGACATGCAGTAAACCTGAGGACTCATTGAATACTAACAACTAAGTGAAGCCTGACATAATGGAGAAAACCGGTGCAAACAAAAGTTCAAAAAGAGAAAGAATGGAATCTACTGACTATCTGATGACTTGCACAGGAAGAAATGATTAAACAGGAATTAACATGGAAATTTTCATAGAAGAACCAAAGTGAGTTAATAAATGGCTTGAGAAATTAAAGACAAATCCAACAAAAGTACTAAGAAAAACACAAAAGAAATAAACTAGAAAACACCTGGCAAACAGAATCTATGTGAAAAACCCCACTTTGCAAAAATAAGAGGATATGGCAAGATCTAAAGGTCCAAATCAAAACAATAATCTAACAGAACTGATGGAGAACCACGTGGCATTACGTTTGCAAAACTCTGTATGCATCACTAGCTAAACAGACTACAAGATTGCAATGTAATTTACCATGGAGCCCTTGTCAATTTTAAACCCAGCTGAAAGAAATCTGCACAAATTAACCCTTAAATGCATGAAAATTTAATGTCATTTGCAGCTGAATAATCAGTTTCTACTTCCTCCTCCACAATGAGACGACCTCCAGTGCGGTGATTGTGAAACTAGACATCCAACCGACAAATTCCCCCTCAGGCAGCTGAAAGTGTTTTATCTTCAAAGACCCCCACTTCCTGTGTGGTGGTGAAATGTAGTATGTGTGATTTACAGTATGTAGCTTTTTTTTCTTTGAGACATTTAGAGATTTTTGGCCATATCACTTGCTGAGGAAACTTTTGCTACATGACCACAAATCTGTAAAAACATAAACACAATAAATCTACACAAGGACAGAAAATGAGCACAAAAACAAAGTGTGATCTAGATCAATTTTCAAGATATCAACGCTCGTTGAGCATACTCGTTTTGGCCAAGTGCGTTGAGATCAACCTTTGCATGTGTGGTTTTTTAATCAGATTTACTCCTAGAAGCACTTCTGGTTGTGGAAACAGAAGTGAACACTAGGCAAACCCCTTTGAGTCCTAAAAACCAACTGTAGATTTTAAAGACACGATAAAAAATCACCTAAGTCAAACCAGAGAAATAAAATTAATAATGAGAAATAAAAATATACGTCAATGCTTTTTTTCTGCAGAGAGGGAAAGGGCCTTTTTAGTAAGGGGAGAAAAAAAAACATAGTTTATCAAATCTGATTAATGTTTTGACATTTTAATGTTACCATTTCTTTTGTTGAGACGCAACAATATTGGAGTTTCATAACTTTTAAAGGGCATATGTCTTAAAGGTACCCAGATGTTTTGGGGTTTAAAACAACAATAATATATGGTTTTGTATGTCCTTTTTGCAACAAGAATTATAGCATCCTCATTTTTACACATTTTTACACGGTATAACTTACTATTACCACGTTGGGCTTCTTGAATACAAATAAGAGGAGTTCAGCATAGAATGAGTAGCTGTTATGTCTGTTATTTCCACATTAAGTATTTATACTCATCGTCTTCTGCTTTATCAGGGGACGGGTAGCGGGGGCAAAAATCTCAGTAGAGACTCCCAGACTCCCCTGACACGTCCTCCAGCTCTGCTCAGAGAAGCCTGAGGTGCTCCCAGGCCAGACGAGAGAAATAGAAATGGTCCTTCCAGCGTGTCCTGGGTCGTCCCCTGGGCCTCCTCCTGGTGGAATGACCCTGGTACACCTCGCAAGGGAGGCATATAGAGGGCATCTGTCTGAGCCACCCCAGCTGGCTCCTCTCGATATGGAGGTTAAGTGTCTCTACACCGAGCCTCTCCCAGATGGCCGAGCTCCTCACTCCACTTCACTAGGGGAGAACCCGGCCTCCCTGTGTTCTTTCAGTCAGGATCAAGATTTCACGATTTTAGAAAGATGAACTGCTTTAGCAATACTAAATGAGCACTTGGCCCACAGCTTCGGCATAAAGAGAAAAGCAACTGCACTGTTGTGTCTAAGTTAACATGCACATTTTGCACTTATTAATTAATTCAGGTTACCAAGTGTAAGGACTCCACCTAGAATACTCTAGTGAAGTTAAGAGTTTATGCTAGAAAAGGGAATTGTCAACATGATATTGGCCTTCCTGTATCATAACGTAAAGACTTGTGGGATTCTGATGATGTTTTGAGAGTTTGCAGAATTGTACACTGAATGAAATCCTCCAGGTTGATTGTGAAAGAGGAACTGATTTCTGCTCAGTTGCTTCAGTTAAACCTCGCTTTGCGATTGCTTTTCCTCTTTTGCCTCAGAGATTCTGGTCACCCTGTTACTACAAATACATTATGCCATCTGCACATCTGCAATGTTTGCTTCCCATCAACCAAAATGAAACCTGCAGAGTGTAGAAGGCATTGGATTACTATGAACTCCCTATCCTATTAAAAAAAACAGTTTGAAATAGTTAGAGCTTTGTGATTTTGAAGCATTTAGTAGATTAGTTTAATGTGCTCATAAATGTATGGACACGGTCAGCAACAATGCTAACTAGGGAGACTGTGGAGTTGACAATGATGCTGTGACTCCTGCAAAGACCAGGTGGTATTGCTTAGACAGCTGCCACTGATCAGAAATTTCCTGTCCAGGATCAGCCATATTTGTCATTGTAAATTTCAGTAGATTAGAAGATTCTGAAAGAGACCAAGAACCATCCTGCATAGATCGACTTGTTCCAACCCCTATTCAGAATTTTTTGTCTCTTCTATCCCCTACAACCTGCAGTTGGAACATGGATGATTTTCAGCACCTGGAGACCCAGCCTCTAAAGCAGAGTCCAACCCAGATGCAAATTATTGACCCATCCATCATTCTGTGGTGTCGTTGGAATCTAAACATTGACAGGTGGATCATAGAAGTAGTGTTTGTCCATAGTAGCCTATTTGTTTAAACTGAGCAAAACTTTAAAACCGATCCCTTTTTACCCTTTTATTTATGTATGTCTGAAAGGTTATTTGTTTAAAGTCATTTCCTGAAGATTGCTGTTTCTATAACTGTTTCAGTCCTGTGCACCTGCAACATAAAATTAGAAACATGGGAAAAGGGGACAAGCAAAAGGGAAATTCCAGAGGGTCAGAGCAAATAGAAATCTCCAGCACAAGAAAAATGCTGTATGGTCTGGCCAACCTGAACCTGAGGGCAGCATTACCCTAGTTCATCAACCACTGTACATATTTTCAGCAGATGTTTACTCCATTGAGTACTGTAACCTCTGGCCTAATTCCCCACAAACAGGACCCAAGGATCACCAAGAACCCCCAAACGTGAGTCAACTCAAAACTATTCATCGCCCTTGTTTAGTTTACCTACGGACCGTGAACTCATCCTGTGATCCCCCCCTTAGAGTTTCCGGTTCACCAGACCGCTGGGTTCCCTGCTTAGAAATACCTGCTATCTCTCTCTCTATACATTGTAACCTTCACCAATAAACCTTTAACTTTAACTAGCTCTCTGAGTGTGTTTTCTGCATGTGGGTTTGATCACTCAAACTCATCATGACATTAACTTACCTAAAGACGGATCTATAAGTGGTTATTTTCTACGTTTTCTGATATTCATAGTCATCATGGTTTTAGATCACTTGTTTATAAGTCTAAGTGATTAAAAATGTCAAAGTTATTAAAAATATTTTCTGGAAATTTGGAGGAACTAAAAGTGAGATACGAGAGCCAACGTTTAGATTAATGAACACTGAAACACGTTTGAAAGGTTAAAATAAAAAAATCTATGACAAGTACTGGTTTGGCTCCAAGGGAGTGAAATGGAAGGAAACAAAAGTTAATTTGAAGTTCGTCTTTTCAGTCAAACCTCTGATAACATATTTCCTATGTGAGCCATGTGACACCATGGCTCACATAGGAAATAAACCATGAATAACTTTTTTGTCCTGTTTTATCAGATCTTAGAGAAACGCAGTTAAATGGACATAGGCTGATTTCTGGCAGATTTAACTTAGATTTTTTTTTTTTTAAAACAAAGACAAAATTGGGATAAATCCCTCAACAACCAGCAGCTTTTTTGGTGAAGTCAAAAAAACAAGAATCATAAATAAACACCAATTTAAAAATGACCAAACAAGATGAGTTTTTTTTTTTTTTAGTAAGACATTTTTGATTGTTTCTTATTTAAAATTTGAACTAAGTAGTTACTCTTCCTCAATTTGCCTGCATCATGAGCGAGACATCCTCTTTAGCTCCTCTCCACACAGTCTACACCACATGTCCATGAACCTCTTTGAAGTCTTCGTCATAGGAGGCGCTTCTGATGCTGTAGGTAGATATCTGTTGGTGTTTGTGCAAGTTCCTGCCTACAGCTTCCTCCCTGTCAGGGAGAAAAATGTTCTGCTTGACAAGAAAAGCTACGTTTTGAGAACATCAACAAGAATCACAGTATCAATAGGATCAAGAACAGGAAAGGCCGCAACGCCAGGCCTGCAAACAGAACAGGTTTTTCATCATGGGTGAAAACAGGCTCACTAAGCCTATAGGGTTAGTTTTTATCATCACAGCTCACATGGTTCTCTATGGTAAGACGTCTTATTCATGACTATTGTTTTGATTTATGTCTTAAGATTAACATGATCCTTTATATATTTTCTCTCCTGTTCCAGTATGTATTCCGTGTTTTCTATGAGGATGAGATATTTATTGACATTTAGTGACATGTTTACGTGGAGATAGTCTCGTGCAAAAGTTTTACTTCTCACTGTAGATTTGAAGGGATGTGATAACAATTTGGATGTGGTTTCTGCTGCTTTTTTTTTTTCTAACTCTGTGAATATATTTAAAAGTAGGACAGTGTGTTTAATAAGTGTCACATATCTGGAAATCTATTCAATAATTGTACTGGGGATGATAATTATTACTTTAATGTCTTCATTCTGAAATATTTCCAGACTCGGGAGTTTTATGTGCAAATAGTTGATATTCATGTTGTCAACTCTACCAAGAATACAAACCACTTAGGAGGAGTCCACAAAATATTTTAGTTAATTTTCTTGGTTTTTATGAGGTCCAATAAATGTGTGGTTCAAAAAATGCTTTAACCACATTTTCATCACATCTTTGACATACTTCTTATCAGTCACAAAACATTTATTTTTACCATTTTAATTCCTATATTTTAAAATCATAAAAAAATGATGATTGCCAAGATAAAATAGTATACCATATTATATTATACCGTATTATATATTAAATATGATACCATATTTTATATATTTTTGGTGTAAAATAGGAAACAGACATAAATACAGATAATTCTAAAGAAAATCTTCAACTTTGTTTCATTTGGAGTTTTCTATAAGATGTTAGAGTTTTGGATTGTGCAACATTTCCTTTTATTTTATTTAACTTTACTTTTCTCCAGAGAAAATAGATGCACACGATGAATTGATGGCCAATAACTTACCATGAAGTACGGAATTACCATGAAGTACATTACTAAGTGGTCATTTCTCTGAGTGTAATAAAAGAATAGAATTGCCTCCATATTTATATGCATACCTTTATATTGCTAGTTACACCAACCCTGTTTTAATTGCTTTTACTGTGATTGTTTCTTTACTTTCTAAGTATGTCGTGTAAATCTTATGTCTTTTCACAGGCTCCAGCCATGCGGATGTTACTGCTTTCATCGGCCAAGACATCTCACTTCACTTCTCATTTAACACTACCATCAGTAAAAACAGTACATTTGGTATCTACAAAACACAGGAAAAAAAGATCTCTGAATATCCAAGACATAAAGAGAAGTTTGAGATTTATCCTGTAAATTCCTCCATATGTTTTCACATAAAAAATCTGAGTCTAGATGATGCAAGTATATACTGGGCCACTCTTTTTTTAGATTCATTTCCAGCATTAAGTAATAAAGTGAATCTGACTGTTAAAGAGGACGACCGTAGCACCACAGGTAAGGTCCTGCTTAAATCTTCCTACATTTATGCCAAATTACCAATTTGTTAAGATCTGTTAGAACTATTTCATATAACAGTATGCAGTGCAATATGTGAAACTTCCACTCTGACCCCTCCACAATCATTTCCTCCATGTTACTCTAACAAAATGCTGACTCCAGCCTCTGTCCACAATCCACAATTCAGAAAGTGTTGCTACTTCCTGAACTGTGTATGAGTCTGGGTTAAAACATTAGTAAAAGTGGCTTATTCTCACATGTCAGTTAATCCTCATTAAAAATAGGTCATAATTTAGTTATACACTAAAAAAATCCAACCTTTCTGAGTAAATCTATTTAGTGAAGAAAAGAATCAAGTAGTGAGAAACAATCTCCCTACCCCTTTTAATCAGAACACCTAACCTTATATATATATATATATATATTATTTATTTATTTATTATTTTTCTTTTACTGCTATGAACTTGAATAAGTAATCAATACCGTTTTGTTTCCTTAGGAATAAATATAGTGTGACACAGATACACTATATTACCGTAGTGACTCTTGGCCACTTTCTTAAAATCGGAAATACAATCGAGCATGTCATTTAATTCAAATAGATTTGACATTCATCTCATGTCTGTAAAAACATGGATAATTCACTAATTTGATTTCATAACAAACTGTTTTAAAGCTTAAAACAGCTGGAACAGTGACAGACAAAACTGGATGAAGACCCATGTTATCTTGCCTCCAAACAAAACGAGCATAACAGTAAAATAAAGAGGTAGATAAACTCCAAATCTCACTTTATATGAATGATTATAATTGTTGGGGTCACCATGTTTGTCTGACGACCATTAGATACGGACTATATGCAGAATGATTGTGTGATATACACAGCTGGAGGATGTCTGATGCTTTGGGTAAACAGGGTTACTGTCCTCCATTATTATATCATTTCCCAGAAGTAAATAAATAAATAAAAAAACATTTGGAAAACCTTAACAATCACAGCAGCAACTATAATGACATTTTTGGTATATTAAAAGTCTTATCTCATGAACACATTTAAAAAAATAAAAGGTTCGGCTTTCATGAGTCATTGCCAATTGTTTTCACGTGGACCCACATCATCTTCTGTAAAACCACTACTCGGTTTTCTGATAAAAATAGCTCGATAATGAAACGCTTTTCTTTTTTTGTAGATGAGTAAATATTCTCGTATTCTTTTAACTCCCACAGATCCTCCGGTGCTGTGCACCTTCACCAAAACAACAACCGATGGAAGTTCCAGTTTCTTCTCCTCCCGTGTTGTCACAGTAGTAGCGCTTTCCCCTCTTCTTCTGTTCGCTGCATTGCTGCTGTTCATGGTCATCTGTTTTGCCAAACCAAAAGGTACATTTTTAACATATCATGATTTATATCATTTGCCTAATTTATTAACCAACATTTATCTTCCTTCTTTTATTCTAATGTTATTGGGAATCAGACCTGGGCTGTTTGGAAGATATCTTGATAATATACTATAAGCTTGATCTGCATAAAGACCTGAAAATTACAGGGATGTTTTTACAAGAGTCTTTTTTTTTTTAACCATCACATGGGAAGATAATGTTTATTTGATGGAAACAAAAAAAAATGCAATTGTGTGGTTAGATGCAGAAAAATGCAAACCAGATTGCAGTTTCACATCCTTTTAATGCAAGCGATGATTCATATATTTCGAAAAGGAATTCTGTCTCACTTCATGCAAATGTAATTGTACGTACTATCAACGAGAGATATGGGTGGAAAAAAACAACGGCTGTGTTGTGCATGTGCTTTCATTTCAGAGGTAAGCCCCTCTGGCCTACTTTGAGTAGGAGCACTGCAGCTTTGAGATATCTTAACCTCAGAAACCACTGATGATCATCATTTCTCCTAAGTGCGAACAAATGCAAGCTTTTGCTGACTCTCTGTTCCGCTGTCACAGGTCCAATTCCGACTCAGGGTCATGCAAAGCAAAAAAAAAAGGGGTGTCTAAAAATCAAGATAAGAAACTACATTTAAGGGAAGGGGTATCCGAAACAAGATATCTGTCCATGCAGCAAGAAGAAGAAGTGCAAATATTGTTTTAGCTATTTTATTGTTTCAAAAAGAACAAATCTTTTCCTGAGATAAAAAGAAATTCTAGAAATGCATGAAACAAAACCAAAACCATACTTCACCAATTATAAGAGGGTCAGTACATTTATTTTAGCCACCACGATTTTTACTAGTTCTTCTTAGAAATTAAAAAAAGAAATGTGGTTTAAAACCAGCTAAAGATTAGATTTGTATGTACTTTATGAGCTGAACAGGAGGAATCCCACCGAGAGACGGAGCTTAAGGTTGAATGGTTTAAAAGAATGAAATCAACAAGCCTTAAGCTCTATTGATTCTTTTCTGTTTTCCTTTTTTAATCTTCCTTTGAACGGGTGAGAATAACTAGTAATATTCCTTTAATTAGTTTTTCCGAAATCATGTTTTAATTAATGACCACAAGACTTTGAACCATACTGGTTTTGGGGATGATGTGTCTTTTTCTGCAGGTCTCTCATCAGGTAAAACTTTCAATTTAAGAATCAGTGTATCATGAAAAAAAACTTTTAAATCTCTTTAAAATTTTGGTGCATATTTTTGACTTTATCAAAATTAACTATTGGTGTATTGATTGATGTTAATAACCGCCCCTTCCCTCTAAAAAAAAAACAACTTTTTAAAATCTTGTTTTCCTAGTATATTTTAGATTGATTCCTATAAATTCTCCCTCCTCTTCCTTCTTTTCCTGTCGAATTCCCCTATAAATAAGTCTTCCAAAGAACAATATTTTTAATTAATGGTATTTTTAATCAAGTGCTCAAATCATGACTAGATGTCAACATGGTTGGCTGTGTATTTGTTGGGGCTCCAAACCAATTTGATATTATAAACAGCACTAAGTCTTCCCTGTTGATTAAGTGGGAGAAGGGACCAACATATGCTTGTACATTCACCAATTATGCTGCTTTGCCTTTTCTAAAAAGTGCTTTAAATCAGTCCTACTTGTCTTTATACATGCTAGGTCAGATCCTGACATTTAAAAAAGGAGGCATTCAATCAAGGTAAGAGGATAGAGCTTTAGCCTCGCTGCATGCAGTTAGCCAAGCCTTGTAGCTAAACCAGGTCTCAGACCTCAGACCTCTCCTATGCTTCTGTGTCGCAGAGGACCTACTGAACATCTGCAACTTTTAACGTCAATGGGAAAATATTTTTGCCCCACAGGGTGGAAATATGTCACCAATCCGCCGAAAAATGAAATGACGCTTTTCTTGTGGTTAAACATTAAATATTCATATTGCACATTTAAAAAAATTATATATCAATATATTTTGAAATATTTTAAGTTTAGAATTTTATTAAAATAAACATTATGTTTTAATCAAGGTCATTGGGTAGGTGGGGTGGTGCCCTGGTGCTGTCTATTGACCAGCCGCCACCGTTAAAATGTACTTTCTTTACTATAATGTGTTAACAGATTTTTTTTAGATATTAAAAAGAAAAATTCAGCATTAATAAGGAGAAAATGTTTAAAAATTTTTTTTTTTAAATACCTTTGATTATTTAAAGAGACAGGAGAAAATCTTAAAAAGTAAAATATTCTAATTTTCCTTTTTTTTATAGCGCAAACTCAAGATGCATCACGAAGAACCTCAAATCCCACCATGCAGGTATAAATTTTTTTACACTTTCAGTACACATGCAGGTCAAAGTTAATAAGTCAGATGTCCACATAAATTTTTAAAAAATATTTTTTCTTATTATTTACAGGAAACAGTAGAGGTGTCAGTTACAACCCCCGAACCGTCACTGGTCTACAGTGTCCTAGACTTCCCAAAGAGACCCCCATCAGCCATGGAGATTGCTCCCAATGATACAGAGTACGCCACTGTCAGCTACCTCCCAGAAAAGAAGCCAAGGCCCCACAAAAATAAATGAGAGTTTAAATTGGAAGATGCTTTGTTTCAGTTTCAATGAAAGACTTTAATACCCCAGAAAATAATAATATATTTCATGTATATATGATACCTTGTGCTGTAAGTGCAATGTTGCACAGGGTATGTTTTTTTTTGTTTAAAATATGTATGAAAGATGTCACTGTCTATAATTATCAACACATAGGAATTAGCAGGAACTTAAAACCTTCACCAACTATTTGCTATAATCAAAAAGATTTGGTTCAGATGCAGCACCCAAAATGTAATTTTACTTTATTCTTATGAGAGCTAACTCAACTAAAAGTAAGTTTAACATCCTTCTTAAGGTATTATATTTTTTTTGTAAAGACATTAAAAAGGGAAAAACATCAGCATCTAATTGCAGTAGCGTATTTGTGTGCAGAAACATTTAGAAAAATCCAACCTTTTAATTTGAGAACATTTGTTCAGTGGGTGGAATTCTAAGCTATACTTGATATAAGCCCCCTTCCCAATTGGAGAGCTCTTTCTTTTTTAGGAGCTTTCATAGATAGTGAACTAAGAAACTTTGGTACTGCACAACCTGTCTAAAAAAATGGATGCCTGACATGCCTGCTATTTTCTTTCAGCTTCCCAGTCTTTCTATGGGATTTATAACTGGGGATTCTGATTTTGGGACTGTTGGAACCATTTTTGTGTTGACTTAGCAGTATATTTTGTATAGTTCTTAAAAAAAACCCCACAAAAACCACCCAAGATTTTGTATCAAATTATATCAGTATTTTAGGGAATTTATTAGATCTATTAGAAGTTTTTCCTGTATTCAGCGTACTTAACAGTGGGTAGGATTTGCTTCTCCTTACATATTAATATGTTGTTTGATGATGGGACCCCAGGAGTGCATGGTTGTCCCTAAAATCTATTTAACCCCATGTTTAGGTTTGCTGACATCACTCCTAGACATGCGGTCTTCTCTGGTATACAAACAGTATCATGTGGTTGTCATTAAGACTTGTATGTTTTCTTGTCCTTCTCATTTTTAGACATGTTGAGTGACTGGCCTCTCTGTCTTGTCTTATTCATTTATGCCCCAAGAAATAGGAGGAGATTAGTCTAATCGACTGAAAAATTATACTGTACATTAAATTGTTTGGTTACATTTATTCTAACAGGATAATTGGGCTACCATCACTGTGGTCTTAGCATGCGTTTTTTTTATTTTTTAAACCCATGTATAAATGTACATATAGTTTTAGCATGAGCTCACACTACAGAGACTAAAAGACAAATCATTCTTTAGCAGATTGTGCTGATAAGTTTGGCTGTTTTCTGAGTATTTATTTTGATCCAGAACCATATCAGGACTGACAATACAAAAAAACCCCAAAATACGTCAATGGTTGGTGGAACATTTTTAAGTTGTGAACTAATAAAAAAACAGCTTTTGAATAAAGGCAAAGACAAATAGGTGGAGTCAATTATAACAAGGGTAAGAATACCAGGCAGAACAGCAATTAAGATATCTGTTACTACAATGAATGTTTTATGTGCATATATTCTATTTAGTTTAAAACAATGTTCAAGATTTCTAGATGTAGATTAGAAAACGGAATAATAAAGAGAACAACCCTAACAGTCTGGCCTCATAAAACCACCTCTTTAGTCACTGTTTCCTACACTGCTGTGATGGCGGTTCTATTTGCCTTCTCAAATGATCAGAACTGAAGATCTGTGGTGAAATGAAACCATTTTAGGAACGCAAACTGTGTGTAGAATGACAGTACAGCCCATCAACTTAATGTTTACAGTTCAACGGTATCATTTTCCACCTTCTCTTTGGATCCACAGCAGCATGTATTTATGCAGCCGCTATCTGACACTATCTCACTGTCATTTTCCCCAAGGACGGTCTTGAAAGTTCTCTGTTTGCTGGTGCTGATATTTTTTTTCCATATTTTTTTCAATAGCTTTGTCATACAGTGACTGATCTTTACACCTCATTGACTGTGTGTAAGGCAGCCACACTGGGATTTTCTAACCGAGAGGTCTCAGAGACAATGCATCGAACGTGGAGGGTCACACGTTACAATGTGAAACCTTTTTCGCAAGGTTACAACTAAATTGAAAAAGAAAAGTAGAATGTATCCCTGTGTTTTGTTATAAAAATATCCATGCTGAGTTTTTAAAACTGCCTTAAATAAAGATGCTGCTCCACTTATCTGTACATGATTCTGTCTTTCTGCTTTTTTCTGTTCTTTTTTTATATAAATTCAGACTAAATGATGAATTCAGGTGCAGCTCTTGCACTTCTGCAATCATATTTAATGGTTTGCTTTTCTATACTGCTTTCTTTGTGCTACATGGGTAAGCCTGCATACATGTCTCCAGCAGCAGATGCTTTATCAGTTAAGGGACATGTGGAACTTTCAGTGTCACTCAGACAGGCTCAAATCCGACCTGCTTAAATTGGACTTTGTAGACCTAATAATAACATCCTGAAGTGTTAAAATTGTCTGAGTCTGAAAGGGTTAGTACCGTATATTTGTTTTAGTTAGATACAAAATTATTTCGAATTTTCCAACACCTTTTACAGTTTGCATGGTGGAAAAATCACACAACACAACATTCTCAGCATACCTTCCCAACAGAACATAATGCAGGTGGTAGCAGCATACTGTGAGGGAGCATTTCTTTAGCTGGAGACATGAAGCTGGTCAAGTGTTGGAAGAATGCACAGATCCAAATACAGGACAAGCATGAGAGATTTATGAAGCTAAGAGACACAAAGACAAACTAGAGCTACAGCAAAATAATGTACATCAAAGCATATTCATGAGTTTGAATACTTAAGACAACATCTAGATATCTATTCTATGCAACTGTAAATCAGTGTCATGGTTTTAAGAACTTTCAGGGTCACTCAAACAGGCTGAAGTCAGATCTGAATAAAAGCGACTTTGTAGACGTAATAAAAACATCCTAAAGCTGTAACTGAAAAACACACTGTTCTTTTTTTCATGTTTCTCAGTAATAACTATTTTCTGTTTTCCTTAGAAAAAGTTCAAGGTACTTTTCATGATTGGTGTTTCAGTAGTTTGTATCTAGAGTTTATATCAGAAGATCACAGAGTGTCAGGAAAATAAAAGAAAATAGAAATTTTTAATTTTTAAGGCAACATTTTTGCCTCCAAGCCATTATCCATGCAATTCAGAGATGCTGTTACTTTTCAACATTTTCCAAAACTATAATGCACAGATAAAAAAAAGGATAATCAAAAAAATTAGACACACTTGATAGTTCTGTTTATTGAAATTAATTGAAATGGGTTTCTGTTACAGCATCATCCAACCTTTATTACTCCATGAAAAATAGGTTGATTCTTTACTTTTTGATTAATAACTACATGCTTGCTTTTTGATTTTACATGGGCAATTGGTGAGAAACGTATGATGTGAGTGAGGAGTGGTTAGGGCATAGGGCTTTGAATCCTGAGGTTGTGAGTTTGATCCCCCGCTCCCGCAGACTGCCACCCTGAGCAAGACCCTTAACCCCACACTGCTCCGCAGGCGCCGCACAATGGCAGCTCACTGCTCCCCAAGGGGATTGGTTAAATGCAGAGAAGTACCTTCCCTCTGAGATTGTCAGAGTATAAAAAAATAAATGAATAAATGCGCCCGTGCAAATTCTCAGTCATCCGGATCATGGCATCCACAAAACAGGCTTAAATTAGAAACTTAGCGGGCTCACATTAGAAGGTGGCTCTAGTGTGAAACTTCTTGTGGTTTTCGTCTGCAAACTTCACGATGTGATTGGTACTGAACCTTTGGACGCAGTCATGTGTCATCAGAGTAAAAAGCAGGAGGCTCAGGATGCAGCCCTGAGGGGAGCCTGTGCTTCGAGTGATGACATCAGAGGTCTTCTGTCCGACGTAGACTGACTCAGGTCCTGTTTTTCTTTGCAGTTCTCTGGGAAGCTTGTAGAAGTGATCATTATCATGAACCCTCTGAAATATCAGGAATCGACTTTGAACAAATACTGTATCTAGTGGCCTTTGCCAGAGAACTGAAAACAGGTTATTGATGAATAAGTATTTTAGTAATAAAACCAGAATTAATGCTGATATGGTTCACTACAAAACCATCAAATTCTTCAATGTTTATCCTGAAACAGCAGACACCAAGGCGTTAATTATTCCTGAATATTTCCTTTGTTTTCTGAGACTGAATAATGAGACAGGGTTTTTATTCCCCCAAAATAGTAAATAAGCGTGTTGAAGAAAGAGTACAAACTTTTAAACCACAAATTATGGAGAATAAAAACAGATCAAATTCATTATAAAATATTAAATTGGTAAAAAAAAATTCTAAAATCCAATAAAAAAAATGTCAACTACATCACCAGGAAGTGGGGGCGAGAATGCCAAGTGATTGTATCCTATTGGTAAGAGGAGACTGGACATGTTACTGACAGCAGGCGTCTCTGTTCATTTCTATAGTTTGACATGTGGTTGGGTATTTATAGGTATTTAGGTTTTTATACTGTGTTTATACTGATTAACATTGTTTTTAGGGGTGGGGAAAGGATGGACAAAATGCACACAAACTTGTGAATCGTTTCCAGCCAAGTTGGGATCTATGAAAGTAAAGTGTACAGTGAGACGTTTACAAATTGTTTTCATCTAACTTTTTTTCTGTGGGGCACAACTTTTGAATTTTCTTGCTACTGCAAAGTTTTGGTATAAAAGCAGTTGACTCTTTTTAGCATGAAGCCCCTGGACTGGTGAAGGTTCAACCCTTTGCGGATGAAGCCGTTAGCTTCTTCACTTATTATTGTTATGGAAATAACCATCCAGCAAAAACACGACATTGTGTCAAAGGTTTGTTAAACATTTTGTTGACAACATGTTGACATGTTATTTTAACATTGCCGTTTTTTTTCTAGCTTGGGGGGGTGAATAGTTAAAGCTGTCTTAGTCTGAAAGAGAGAGGATCTTTGTTTTAGTTACATGCACACACACAATTATTTCAAATTTCCAACTCCCTTTTATAGTTTGCATGGTGGAAAAATCACACAACACATCACCTCAGCATACCTTCCCCACAGTGCATAATGCAGGTGGTAGCAGCATACTGTGAGGGAGCATTTCTTTAGCTGGAAACAACAAGCTGGTCAAGTGTTGGAAGAATGCACAGAGCTAAATACTAGACAATCATAAGAGAAAAATTAGGCTAAATGAGGCATTTAGATCAAAGCAAATTCAAGAGTTTGAATAGTTAAAACATCTAGATATCTATTCTATCCAACTGTCAATCAGTGTGAGGACTTGTACATTTATGTTCCCAAATCAGCATGAGTGAAAGTGTTTTGCAAAGACAAATCAAGCAAAATGTGTAAAGATGTGCAAAGCCAGCATGTAATAACCCCAAACTTCCCACACGTCTTAAAATTTTATTTGTAAGAAAAAAAAAGTCATACATCGTTTGCATTTCACCTCACAGTTATCAATGTGTTTATGTTGGTGTGTGAAATAAAAGTGTCAAATGCAGAGGTTTTTAGCTGCAACAGTAGACAATGTGATGAAGTCAAAGTGACATTAACCATTTTATAATGCATTGTGCATCAAACCACTAACACAGTTGTTTCAGTGTAGAGAAG